AGCAAGGGACTGACTTGTGTCAGTGACATATCTCCATACACAAGTGCCCACTGTCCCCACCTGGCCACCTCCAGGGAGCTTGGGCAGCCCTGACCCCAGCTGGCATCCACTCCTTAGGGTGTGATTCCCTAGGGGTTCATCCTGCAGGGCTGGCTGCCTGGCCTTCTCCTGGAAGCGCAGGGAAGACCCGACTGTTAGTTCCCTGTTCAGCCTTTGCTGGAGAAAACTCGGATTTGGATAAAGGTTTGGATAAAATTTGTTAGTATACACAGAGCATGAGATCATCGAGATCGAGGTTAAGAAACAAGACGATGCTAAGAGAAGGGAAAGAAATGTTAGCGGTAGTGGCCTCGATGGAGTAGCATTATGGGAGATGTTTTTTCTTCTCTCGTAAACTTTTCTAGACTTCCCAACTGTTTTGTAAATGATCAGATATTACTTTTTCAATCACGAGGGAGGGGGTGTCGTGTAGTCCAACCCCCTCCTCACCCCCAAATAAGCACGTATTGATTGCCCAGCCCCATTCCAACTCTCCTCCCCTCCCCGCCACTCGCAGGAGACAAGAATCCGCTGTGCCCACAGTGGGGACAGAAAGCAGGCCGTCACACACAGGTCTCAGAAAGCTGGGCCTCCTGCCCTGAGGACCCCCAAAGGCTGAGGTGCCAGGAGCAAAGAGGAATGGTCACAGAGCTTTCTCTTCAGCCCTGGCCAAGGAAGTTGCTGGAAACTGGGACAGTCCATGCCCTCCAGACCTCCACCAGATTCAACCATGTCCCAGGAGAGAGGCCTCACAGTGTCACTTGCAGGGACACAAACGCCAGCAACCTGCCCCAGCCACACTGCTCTTTCTCTTCACAGGGGTCACTGGGCCAGCCTACTCATGAATCTCCCCCTCCCTGCCAGGTCTCTCTTCTCCCAAGAGACACAAGACTAAGAGTGTCCCCAGGGACCCCAACAGACCTCAGACTCACCCCAAAGGACAGTGATTCCTGCCTGCCCTCTCTCCTGGGACAGCTCACAGGGATGGGGCCCTGCTCTACCCTCTTCAGAGAAGAACCAACTCTCCCCCCTGTCTCCCCCCTACTCTTCAACTCAAGATCTCATCTCAAACACACAGGAAGTCCTTCCTCCTGTCTAGCCTCTATTCCTTCCACAAGAGCATCAGTCCCAGACGCTTTTGTGGCCTCGGGGGTGATGGAAAACTACAAGCCCCTCACCCTCTTGACAGCAATGAACCAGACTGCATTCATTCTCTTTCCTTCTCTGTCACATCAAGTCCCTCAGTTGTCTCTTCTCCTGGATCAATAATTCCCATGCCTGGGACCTCCCCGACTTCGAGGGACCCAGAAGCCCAGTGCTGATAGGCTCAGGACCCAGGCTGCGCCGACACAGGTAGAGGCCCCATTCTGGGGTCAGGTGTCCCGTTGGCAGGTACCAGAGCCAGGCAGGTCAGAGAAGACAGTGACACCGGCCCCTCCCTTGAGGACCAAGGCTCTGGCTGACCCCATCCCCATCACCAGAAAGGCCCTCCCAGCAGCAGAAAACCCCTACTCCCAGCCCCCCAGTCTCCTGGGCTCCAAAGCAGAGGATAGCCAGCTCCCTGCCCAAGAGCAGCCTGGCAGCTCTGACTGGTACAATCCTGCAGGACGCCGGCCCAGTCCTGAATCTGACTCTCATTTCTCTGCACTCCCCAGGGAGCAGGCCCCCTTTATCTTGGCACAGCTCCAGCCCTCAGCAAAGCAGACAAGTCCCTCTTCCTATAAAGGGACAAGACCAGAACAGCCCATGGTTCTGCCCTGCTCACGCCAGGGAGCAGCAGCTGCTTGGACCCTGCCCTCCTCTCTGCCTCCCAACCGCCTCCACACACGGGCCACAGCCCCCGGCCTTGGGGAACTAGCCCCCTCCTCCAACCCACGGGCGAGGTTCCAGAGGGCTGGAAGCTAGGACATGAGTCACCCCCACCTGACAAACCTGGCCTCACCTTTGCCACCCACACATACCTTCCTGGGCCCTTCTGAACTCTCTTCTCCCCAAACTCCAAAGCAGAGGCTCTCAAAAAGGGATGGCAGAAAAATTCTTCCCAGTGGGGATGATACAGCAGGATGAGCTCTAGGTTTGGAGCCAGAGGACCCAAACACCAGTCTTGGCTCTGCTTGGGTCTTGCTGTGCAACCTTGGGCAAGTTACTTAACTTCAATTTCCTCATCTGTAGAATGGGGTTAGGCCACCCGCCTCTAGGGATAGCCACAAGGATTAAGTGAGAACAGTCAATGAAAGTACTTGGTATCTGTAAAGTCCTCCCTCACCTTTTAAGTGACCATGTGTCAAGTATCTACTGAGTAGGTAGGTATTATTATTCCCATTCTGCCAAGGAGGTCACTGAGGCTTGGAGAGGTGAAGTGACTTGACCAAGGCCACACAGGTAATGACTGACAGAGCTGGGATTCAAACCCAGCTCAGTCTAAGCCGAAATCGCAGTGTTCAGAACTGCCCCACTGTAACATCTCTCCACAAAAACAGCCCTTCAGTAGGCGAGTCAATTGCCCCATCTCATTCTAAGGTGGCTCCTCTGCCCAACCCCTCCCAGGTCAGGGAGAGATGCCCCCTTACCACCACCACCCTCCCACCCCCACATCTACCTGTCCCATGGCTGCCAGCCCTAGCCTGATCTCCTCCATTCCCACACACTGCCTTCTCAAAGCCTTAGCCTCAGCAGCCCAAGCAGAAGGTCCAGAGGGAATGGGGTGGAGCTGGGGTGCAGGGGTGGGGCAGGGTGGAGGGGGTGGAGAGGGCTCAAGTCACCCAAGCTGGGGCTTGATCTAGCAAGGAATGACTAATTGGATCCTGCCTTTTTTTCCCTTCTCCCTCCTGTCCAGTAAGCAGCCAGCTTTCACCAGGCACCTCCTAGCAATGCTTCCTCAATATTGTCTTTTCATCACAGCCACAAACCAGATTAGCTAAACTAATCATTTAACCAATGTAATTACAATGCCTTCCCCTCCTCCACTTTGGCACAGAGGAGGGAAAACAGGTTATTTTTGCCCAAACTCCATACCCTTGTGGCTCCCCAGAGGTACCCCACCCACTAGAGCAGAAGAGGGAGGGGGTTCTCTCCTCAGTCTCCCCCTAACCCAGAGTAGGGCCTGATCCCTGCCCAGGGGCACATCATGGGAGTGGGGCTGACCTTTGCCCCCACTCTCCCATCTCCAACCACCAAAGAGGCCACAGGGTCTTCCCAAGTGAGTCAGGGCAAGCAGCCCCAATTTCCCCCCAAGTCTTCCCTTCACCCCAGGACTCAGGGAGAACCTGGCTCCTACATTCCCCCTCTGTTCCCCGAGGAGGCTGGGCTCCAAATCTCTGCAAAAAGACCACACTTCAGATTTCTTAAAACCTGTGCGAAAGCCTGGTGGAGATCCCCAACTCTGGCCAGGGAAGGGGCTCTCAAGAAATGGGGGGGGGTGGCTAATGCAGCTCTGCCTGAAACCTTCCCCCCAGAATCCTTCCTCCTGTCCCAACTTTCCCAAACTCTCTCAGGAAAGGGGGTGGGTGGGGAATGGACTGCAAAGCCTCCAGAAGGAATGCACCTTCAAAATCCAGAAGGCAAATGGAAATCAAGCAACATTGCTCTTTGCTCTTAGGCCTCAATTGCCAGCCAGCAAAACAATGTGGGGGATGGGGTAGAGGAAAAAAAAAGAACAATCGCTCCCCCCACCCCCGTCTGTTTGGCCCGGCCCTGCCCCACCCCCATTCCTGGGGAGGGGGGCAGAGCTGGGGAGAAAGCCACTTGCGCAGGCCTCAAGCGAGGGGGTGTGGTGGTCCCCGGAGGCAGGAAGAGAAGGAAGAAGCTGCTTCCCCTTTCGGCCCACCCCCCCCCCACCCCGGCCCCCACCTCAGGCCCCAGGGGCCCAGCAAACAGGATGGAAGTGGGGGCAGGGAGGCAGGGTCACAGCGCAGGCACTGGCCCTGGTTCAGCCTGGCCGGCTGGGGGAGGGGGCTTTGCTCAAGATGGACCCCGTAAGCCTGGGGGGACGCCCTGGGTAAGGAGGCAGGAAAACTCCCAGAGAAAGCTGCCGTGAATACTTCCTCCTGGAAAGTTTGTTTTGGGTGCTTTTTCCGACAATAAGAGGATAGAGAAGAAGAATGGTCCCGTTCCCATATCAACACTCTGGAAGCGGCATCTACTGGAAACTGGGCCAGTGAATTCTCTACCCATGCACGACCCCTCTGCCCAGACCCCTGTCCGAGCCACTGGTGCCAGACCCCAGCTGGGCGCGGAGCCGGGCCCTGCACCAGTCCCACTCTCATCCCATCCCAGCACCCCTGGCGGAGCCACAGCCCGGCACCCAGCAGAGCGGAGGGAGGCGCCACAGGTACAGAACCGACGAAGCTCCGGGAGTTGGAGGGCAGAGCCTCTGGACTCCGTGTGCTCACCTGCTCGGCAGGTGGGGCCCGCGTCGCTTGGAAAATGTGCGTTCGGCCCCACAGTTGGGCAAGCCGGGCGCAGACAATAGGGCCCCACCCAGGCCTGGGGGAGTAGGGAGGGAGGGAAAGCGAGGATGACGCGTGAGGTGGGGTGAGGGTGGCCCCAAAGAGACCAGCGGCAGCAAGTTTTCAAACAGTAAATTCCTGACTACAGAGTGAGCCCTGGGACGCAGGCGGAGCAGGTCAAAGTCTCCCCCGCAAGAGTCAGGGTGAGAGTCAGGGACGCGGCGTCGGGCGGGCTCCGCGGCCCCGGCGGAGGCGCGACCCCGGAGACACCTGCCCTGATCCCTCTCCACCCTTCCCAGATCTCCGGCTCACGCAGCCCCTCAGCGCACCCGGCCCGAACCTCGCGCCCCTTTAGCCGCCGCGCCCAGGACTCCAGCGCGCCCCCTGCCGCCGGTGCAGGGAGGCGCTCCCTGACACCCGCCCTCACCTGCCCTGAGACGGCGGGGGTTGGCCTCTCTCGGCCGCTCGCCGCCCTTCTCTCGCCACAGCGCTCCCTGCCCCGATCGTCCGCACCTGCGTGTGGAGCCTGGCCGGGCTGGGCAGGAGTCGGGCCGGGATGGGAGCCGGCGCGGGCGGCGAACTGAGGTCGGCGCGCTCGGGCGGCGGCTGCTCCGGACTCTGGCCAAGGCAGCAACTCAGTAACCGAACAAAAGGCGAAGGGACCTGACAGCCAAGCCACGCCTCTCGCCCCCTCGAAGCTCCGCCCCTGAGGGAGACGCCCACCCGCTGATGCGGGCTCACTGGCTGCCTCGCTTGACTGTCCCATCGAGGGGCGGAGCCTCGCGCCCAGTTCTCTTCCATCGCCACCTCTGTTTATCCTCTGGCCATTGGCACCAGAGACTGCCAGTCGGCTCTTGGGACGGCCTCCAACTTGAGGTTCCATCCTTACTCCGCACCTATTGGCAGATAGAAGGTTACTTCCTCCTGATTGGGCAAGGTGTCGTCAGTAAGACTAAGGAAAGAACCAATGGGAGGGATGGGGTGTGTCTTGCCCCACCCTAGCTCTGAGCAGGTAAGACTCATTACTCTCCCCTTCCCCCTACCTGTCCAACAGGTGAGTCAGGAGGCGCCATGGGAAAGGACAGACGCTTTCACCAGCCAGCCAGCTCAGCGTCAGGCATAATGCTTCTTTGGGCTTATTCACCCTTGCCACAAAGTGGTAATAAGATGTTTGTATAGCACTTCATAGGCTATTAGCTGGTTTGGGAATTTTTTCCTGAAAGATGGAATGCTCCTGAGATTTAGAATCAGAAGGCCTGAGTTTGGGTTCTGCCACTTAGGAGCTATATGCTCTTAGGCAAGTTACTTCATCTCACCCTGTTTCTCCTCCTCTGTAAAATGGATACATTGGCTATATCTCTCTCTTAAGAGAGTATGTGGGGATGAAATGAAGTAAAGTTTGTGAAATCACTTGGACAATTGCTAAATGTTACAATTTAAATTAATGACTTTTTTTTTAATTCTCGTGACAGTTCTGAAAAATTGTTAGGACAACAAAATGATTGTCATTTCAAAGATGAGGAAACAGGTTCAGAGAGGTCACAAAACTAGAAAGTGGCACATCCTAAACTAGAACCCCTTTCTTCTCATTTCAAGGCTCACCAAACCACATGTTCTCCTGGTGGAATATAGCACCGACATAAAATGTCAAAGCAGTGGGGAGGGGCCGGGGAAAAGGCAAAAACAAATTCCGGGGAGAGACAGAAGAGTAGTGATTTGGGACAAAGGGACAAATTGAGGCTAGACATCAGAAGGAACTTACCAGTGTTAGGATAAGGAGACAAGGACATTCATATATGGGAGGCTGGAGACTCTCCTTTCCTGGAGATTTGTCAAACAGAGAAATCCCTGTGAAAGGGACAAAGACTGAGAAAGTATTGGTGGGTTTGGAAGAAATCAGGCAGCAAGGAAATCAACACTGCCTAAAAGAAATGGGGCAGCAGGCCCCTCAGTAGTGGAAGAGTCTGGGTTAGTTATCAGAAAGAACGTCCGGGGCCGGCCCTGTGGCTTAGCGGTTAAGTGCGCGTGCTCCACTACTGGCGGCCCGGGTTCGGATCCCAGGTGCGCACCGACACACCGCTTCTCCGGCCATGCTGAGGCCGCGTCCCACATACAGCAACTGGCAGGATGTGCAACTATAACATACAACTATCTACTGGGGTTTTGGGGAGAAAAGGAAAAAAAAAAAAAAGGAGGAGGATTGGCAATAAATGTTAGCTCAGGGCCGGTCTTCCTCAGCAAAAAAAAGAGGAAGATTGGCATGGATGTTAGCTCAGGGCTGATCTTCCTCACAAAAAAAAAAAGAAAGAAAGAAAGAAAGAACTTCCCAATAGGCAGGTTAAGAAGATAAGAGTCTTCTCTTTCTGTGGCTGATGAAATGAGTGCCTGCTGGTGGCAGTACAGTGTGCCAGGGGTCCTACAGACATTCATTCATCAATAGAGCACCAACTGTATGCAAGGCACTGGGTTAGACACTGGTAACATGGAAAATCAAAATGATCCCAACCCTCAAAGGGCTCCCGGAGGGCTAAGTGTAAACAGGTCACCTTAGCCGCTCTGTGTGTGTGTGTGTAGGGGGAGGGGTTGTTCGGGAAAGGGTCCTCCCTCAAAGAAGCATTATAGCCCCAAAGCTCGCACACAGGTGGGCTGGGTGAAGGAAGCCCTGCAGCATCCTTGACCACTTTCCCCACCAGAGAAAGCAGTGATGGCTAAACAGTTGCAATGATGGCCAAACAGTCGCACTTCTGAGGCTTGTGCCATCCAAGAGGTCTTCCTGGAGGGGGCCAGGGAGACATCAACATCCCTAACCAGTTACCATCCCACGTGCCACTGCCCTGTGCTTCATTTCCCTTCCTCCCCCTCCTCCAGCTTACTCAGTATCTTTCTCCATACCTTACCCCTGCCCCACCCACCTGCTCAGCACCCTGCCACACCGTGCAGTGGCCAGCCCCCAGCTTGGGGGGAAAGGAGCTCGAAATCTAGGCTGCTGCCGTCGCCAGGGTTTCACTTCCTCCCTCTTCCACTTCCCACCTTCCCCTGCCCACTTCCCACCTTCCCACACCCTCCCCTGCCCACACACACACACACACACACACACACTTCCCAGACTCAAGCCTGGCTCAACTCCTTCCTTTCTCCTGACTTCCGCATACGGGCAGGGCAGGGCTGGTTGGCTGCAGAGGGGTGGAGGAACCTGGGTCGGGTGGAGGGGCAGAAATAAGGCTTCAGAATAAAGCCTATGTGCATATGTGTGTGTGTGTGTGTGTGTGTGTGTGTGTGTGTGTGTGTGTCTCCCCAGAATGTTCCCTGCTTGTCAGCCTGGAACATGCTGCAACATGCTTGCCCCAAACTAAGCGCTCAGGCTGGGACTGGGTGGAGGCACCGCGGCAGCAGCAAGAAAGATTGGGATGACAGCTGTGTCTCTCCGCCCAGATCAAGAGGTTTTCTGCACATTTATGAAGCACCTACTACATGCCTGCCAGGCACTGAGGATTCATCTGTGGGATACAGAAAATGATGTTGACCAGAATCAGCTGTCTGTGTAGGGGATTTGGTCTCACAGGGCAAGGAGGTGCCTAGGGATGGGGATGAGAGTCGCTGTGCAGCAGTCTCCTCTATGACTAGAGCTTGAAGGAAAGGCCACAAGACCATCTTACCCAGTCCCCTGCCTCCAAGCCTTTGAAGGCAGGGATTTCTCTGTTTGACAAATCTCCAGGAAAGGAGAGTCTCCAGCCTCCCATATACGAATGTCCTTGTCTCCTTATCCTAACACTGGTAAGTTCCTTCTGATGTCTAGCCTCAATTTGTATTGCTGCAATTTAAACTCATTTCTCTTGCCCAGAGCTCAGTGGAAGCAGTGTCCTTGGGCCGTCAAGATCACATATGGTTAATTCAACATTGCAGATTTCTGGGGCCTCAAATAAAGAAGGAAAGAGCACCCAGTGGCCCATCCCAAGCTGTCCCAGAGACAAGCTACTAGCAAAGAGGGGTCCAAGGAGGGGCTGTTGGGAGGGAGGGGAGCTGGTGGGGGATGGGCAGGCGCTTTCCTGAGGGAAGGTAAACAACAGCCCAGTGCCCTCCAGGCTCATCTCGCTTCCCCTCCCCGCCAGGAGGCCTCTGGGCCATATAAGGAGGTAAGAGTTTCTGTTGTCTGTTCAAACTTGGCCCTTTCTCTGTGGGGTCCCTTCCCCAGACAGAGGCTGAGGAGATTTAGATCTGCACAAGCCACACACACAAACACACACAACCTTCCATGCTCACACCTCAGGGATATACACTCATGGGCACAGATTCAGATACGCAAACACCAGACGCATCAACGCTTTCTCCCCAACAGACAAATACACACACACACACACACACACACACCCTTCATCCCTCCTCTTCCTCTAGGGTGGCCTCAGGGATGGTCATCTCTATCAAGGGAGACTGGGGTGAAGAGACGGGTTGCTAAACTTCAGGCTGACAATGGTCCCTCTTCATCACACAGCAGCTCCCTCTCCCCTGGCGTTAGTTACAGCAGCGGGAAAGGAGAGCGACAACCGGGAGTTGTCGCTTCCCACGTGGCAGGCTGGAATCAAAGGCAATAAGAAAAGGAAGAGGCATCTTGAGCACAGGCCGGCTCTCAGCCCCGGGGCAGAGCCACCCGTGGACCTGGGAAAGGGGCCTCTGTGTTGGGTCCTATCCCTCGGAAGGCCCCACTCCAGCCCTCCTGCGGTTGTGCCCTCCACACAGGGCCAAAGGGACAAGCCTATACAGAGTTCACGGCTCTCCCCTTCAAGACCACACTCCGGGTGGCGGAAACCCTGGAATTCCTTGCCCAGCAGTGACCCCACTTCTAGGGCCTGGGGTCTCTCACTCCGGCCCTTCCTCCCCTCCCGAGGACAGCAGCACCGCCCGTCGTACAAGCACACAGAGGCAAAGTGGTGACAAGGGCAGTTATGGGGACGGGTGGACACAGCACAGATATGCAAGCTGGGGTATCTACACGCATGTGCTGGAGGCCCTTTCTGGTGTGGGGGACCCAGGGGTTCGAAGGGACGGGGAGATGGCCCAGGGGCTGGAGGCCTGGGGACGGTTATCCCCGGGCTGCCATGTTCTGAGGAGTCTGAGAAGTCTCAGTTCCATCTTGGCCTCTCAGGTCATTGTGAAGTTGTACTTATCAAGGTATAGCTTATTTAACAGTTTGTGTGCTTGATTTGTATGTAACTTTTTGGACTACAGTATGTGGACCTCCATTTGCACGCCTGCCCCTGTCCCCTGGAGTTGGGGGTGACTTGCTCGGGGTGACCCCTTCAGGGCTGGGGAGATGACACTGGCTGCAGAAGAGCCTCCAGGCTCCCAAACTCTTCTGGCTGGAGGGGCCCAAGCCTTGCGGGAGCAGGAGCGAGGTGGGCTGGTGCGAGGCCTGGAGGAGGGGTGCTTCTCCGGTTTTTTGCTGCCCTTTGTCCAGGGGAGGAGCCTCGAAGCCAGAGGCTGCCCACGGCCTGGTCCTGTGGGTGAGTGCCCAGCCAGCAGGGAGGGCTCTTAATTACAGAGGTAGTTCCAGCCACACTTTGCTGCAAGGCGTGTGGGCGGGGAAGGAATGTGGCAGGGAAAAGAGGGAGACAAGAAAACAGAGATAGGACGGGCCAGAAATAGCTCAGGCCAAGGCGCGATACCA